CACCTCAGTGAGAGGCAGCACCTCCTCTGGTGCAAAACCGCATCAAATAATAAAAGCGTTGAAGGTCATCGGCCCATCGGCGGCCGTCGACGATGAATGGAGAAGGCGACTCAGGCCCGTCGCATCATGCCCATGTACAACAAAACGATGGAAGCCGCCATGGATGTCGCATGTCAGATCCAATCCGCCTACCTGCTTCTCCGCCTCTCGCACGGCGACGATGGGGATCGCCACCGACGCCGTCGATGTGGTGTGTGAGATCCTCCTTCTCTTGCGCAACAACAAAGGGGAATGTCGCCGACCGCCACGAGCAGCACCGTATGCCGCTGCGACGGCTGCCGCCTGCCAGATCGATCCCATCTCCTCCTCTCGCACAACGACAAAGGGGATGACCGCTGGTGCTGTTGATGTGGTGTACGAGCTCCTCCTCCTCCTTTCGCATGGCAACAAAGGGAAGCGTTGCCGACGTCATCGATGTGAGGAACCGCAGGGAGCGAGTGGAGCGCACGTCTCACTAGTAAGGCAATAGGTCCGATATGGTAGGAGTTGGTATTGAAGCCCTGATTCAAGGAACGACCTTTGAAAATGAGTTTCAAGATTCGTACACGCATGATCCGAAACTTTCAAAATCCTATGAGATTTTTAGCATTTAGGAAGAAAAAAGGGCTTAACACTGCACAAGTTATATTGAGTATTGTGTGGACAAGTCAAAAAAAATTTAGACGTCTACGTAGTCGACGGTAACGTTTTCTTTCACTAAAAAAACATTGCATCACTGCCTGAAATAAACGCCGAAAAATGCGACAACAAGTGCCAAATCTAAGACTTGAACTTTTGATTCCACCATAAGAAATCTGACCAGCTCTCACTTCACGTGGACAAGTCAAGAATTAAACATGTGACAAATAGCTAAATTTCCGAGACCTAATAATTACTTGTGCGAGACCAATTTTGACTTCCAGCATATAATTAGCAAACACATGCCCGCTATTCTCTGGCCATTCGTCTCCACTCCATGTTTAATTCTCGACATTCCCTCGCAACCTCTCTTACCAAACCGATTAACCGAAGCAGCGCCCATATTATAACGA